ACCCGCACCAATTCCCTGCAGTGTCCGTCTGTTACAGTACCCCCTCCACAAGGGAACCCTTTCAGGGATCCCACGAGGAGAAGGGCGACCCGGATACCGCCTGTGGAAACGGGAGACCTTCTGCGGGGCATGGAAGTCCCGAAAGTCCTCCCAGGAGTCTTCAGCCGTACCATAGCCCCTCCAGCGGACTAGGTACTGAAAACGATTCCGGAATCGGCGGGAGTCGAGAATGTCCTCCACCTCGAACTCCATCTCACCGTCCACCTCAACTGGGGGAGGCATCGGGGGCACCCGTGCCATGAAAGGATCCGGACGGAAAGGCTTAAGGAACGTGGGGTGGATCTGGTGATTGGCAGGAAGAGAAAGCCGCACGGCTGCGTCGTTCACCACCTTCTCGACAGCATAAGGACCGATATAGAGTTTGCTGAACTTGCGGGAAGGGGTCCTGAGTTTTAGATTTCTAGTGGAGAGCCACACATAGTCCCCGACCTTGTAGTTCGGAGGCCATCGGTGACGGAGGTCATAATAGGCCTTCTGACGCCACCTGCGCATGCAGGATATTAGTCCTGATGGCCGACAGATGACGCTGCAGCGAGTCCAAGTAGTCGTCAGAGGCGGGGTTACTGGAACAGACAACCTCTCTGCCCTCTGCCCCCATCTACATTACCACCCTCATCCCAATAGATCACCTAAGCCATCCTCTTCACTCCTCCCAAGATCTCTAGCTCTCACATCAACTCCTCCCATACTTGCCTCCAGGATTTCTCGAGCGCATCTTCCATCCTACCCCAACCTGTACCCCAACATGCTACATAAGTCTCATATAATAATGCCATCCCCTGTCCTTTGAGAGTGCCTTTACCGGACACTGAGAAAGTCTAATTAAACACTAAATTAGAACTCAAGCCCCATTAACAAAGTAAAACCAAATCAGAGATGGACACAGATGGAACTTTTCTTCTGGGTAATAAAGATAACATCAGGTATCCTGTGCTGTGAACTTGTAGGCAGCACCAATAAAAATTCAGTGGTGTGGGCCTAAGGTAAAAGCCTTAAGGTAAAAAAAACGTTTATTTAAGGTAAACCTGCCACAAATTTGTCCTGCCCCCAACCAAGCCTCCCCATGGATCAATGAGGCCATCTATGACAATAAAGGAACAATCACAAGGTTCAAGAGGAGGTGATGGTAGGGCTGTGTATACAGTATAACTTTAACTGCCTATCTCTTGAGATCCACAGATTTTTCTGACATGCAATCTCCGCCTGCATGCTTGTCATGGTCAGTGGCTCACAAGGCATTGAAAACAGAATCCAATTGACAACCTGAATTCTGCACCTTTAAAAAGTGACTTAAAAGAGTTAAACTTGGCCGTCCCTCATGCTATATTTCAAGTGGCACTACAGTCTGCTGTGCACCGTGCATCCACAAAGGTGAAAGGTATGTGTATAGGGATACACGTATCTTTTATATTACAGGCACAAGGAGCATAGATTTTTGCATTACAGTAATACCTTGGTTTAAGAGCATAATTCGTTCCGGAAGCATGCTTGTAATCCAAAGCGCTTGTATATCAAAGCGAACTTCCCCATAGGAAATAATGGAAATTCAGATGATTCGCTCGACAACCCAAAAATATTCATATAAAAATGATTACAATACTGTACTGTAATATAATACTGTATAAAATATAAAGAAAAATAAACCAATTACCGGTACCTTTGTGACTGGTGTGAGGGGGACAAGAGAGAGGAGGATTATTGTGTAGGACGACTTTCACTATCACTAACGGAATCACTTCTATCTCTTGACTCAATGGAATATTTTTCATTTCGTGAAACCTTAACAAGGAATCTATCCAATGTGACATTGTGTTGTCGTTAAACAGTCTCATCGCTCGCACTGCTACACCCTTATTCGGGTGGCGCTTTTCTACAAAATTTTGCTCTTATTGCAAGACATTGCTTGTATATCAAGGCAACATTTTTCAGAAATGTTTGCTTCTCTTGCAAAACGCTCTCAAACCAAGGTATTACTGTATAACATACATAGCTGGGCTGACCCTCACCATACCATAGAATAGTAAAAATAGGAAGTATGCACATAGATAAATTGTTTTTCCTTTCCCCTTGTAAAACAAATAAAAAAACAATAAGAAACACATTTCTATTTTAATATGCATTATAAACATTATAAATAAACAAAACCATTTTTATACAATAACATTCATTCTTAGACAATTCCTGACAATGTTGATGTGCATGATCAGACTGCAGCATGTTTCATTTGGAGTCTATTTTACAAGTGACCAGCAGGGTTGATTAGGGGAAGGGGGGCATATATTCAATGGCAGGAAACTTCGCAAGTATGATTGGGTCCTGAAGATCAGCAGTTTGAATACACCTTTCAAAATGCCTCCATTTGTGGCATGCAAGGACCCATATCAATACACACAGCAAACACTCTTCCCATTAATCCCAGAAATTGTAGCCAATTAGTGAACTGCTATTAAAGTTCTCTGTGATCACCTGAAACTAGCCCTCCTGCAGCTCCTCACAAGTTTACTGGGAGTGTACTTCCTAATGCATGAACTGTGACCCTTCCTTTATCACCAATGACATTTAAAGGCAGATTTGATTCTAAATGGTGGCTGAGAGATGCTTCTTAGTGCTGAATTTAGTTTTTCATCCGGCTGTCTACATGTGAGAGGCAGCAAGAAGCCTCCATTGGGCATGTTTGGGAATAACTCTTCTTCATCACAAGCAGAGGTTGTCTGGTCACCACAATACCACAAAGGGAATGGTTTGGACTGGTGCCCTACAACAATGCCTGGGAGAAAAACTGAACCTTATATAGAATAACTTGACTACTCAGCACTTATCTTATGTACATCTGTAGACTAAAATGACTCACACCATCACAATTCCTTATTAGCAAAGACTAGTAGTGAATCACAGTCCCAGAGAAGACATTATCAGAACAGCTACATATATCAACAAAATGTTTTATTTCAGAGGAACATGGGCCTATGAAACATAAGCCTTAGTAATGCTCTCTCATGGATGAATAATTGTATTATTATATGATCTTTATATTGAACAGTCAAAACATGGATTGTAGAAGCCTAGTACAAACACTGGCAGTTTACATCTGTGAGAGAAAACAATGACATACAATGTATATTCAAGCCAAATCTTTCTGAAAACCATCCATAACACATATGTCTTTAGTTTACTCTATACACTCATACAGTATTTGAGTGTTTGTATATGCATGTATATACAGACAGGCAAACCTTTTAACAGTCTCAATTTCAGCAGACTGGACACTGACTGATTGCTGACCTGCACTCGGTTATAGCTGGCTGACAGTGGATGTGCCAGCCTCCAAGGCCGGTGGATCCACTGCAAGAAGTCTTAGCAACCAGGGACATCAAATGTGTTTCTGCCCCCAGCATTACAGGAGGACAGAAGAGTATGTTCTTGTCCTCTCCTGCAGCTCCACCTCATGTCTCCCGCCTCTGGCCAATTGAGCAAAAAGAAAAGAAGGTATGTGCCACAAACTATCTGGGGACAATAACGCTTCATTCAGGGCCCGTTCACACCTTTGCCGTGCAATTAACGGATGGTACACCTATAGTGCATTACAGTGCAGCAGGTGCGTAGCATGTAATATTTTTTTCAACATGCACCATAACACATAGTATTGTGGTATCACGCTTTGCAGCCGGGAACACATGGTATTGTGGATCGCATTGCAGCCGGGAAGTGCATTTGGGGTGCCATTCAAATGGTTCGCCCCTCCACAACAGTCCCACTTTTTCATGTGGGCCCTTGAGAAAATGAATTGCCCACCCCTGGCTTAATGTATCTAATTTCTAAATATTCATAAGCAGGGAGGTATGATGTGCTTGCATATTAAAAGTCAACTGCACGTAAAATGTACAAAATATAATAATAATACTACAATATAGATAGATAGATAGATAGATAGATAGATAGATAGATAGATAGATAGATAGATAGATATGCACAGTACATTCATATTAAAGCATGGCCACGGAAGCTGAGTGGTTGGCATTTACACATTTTATGCAAATAATATTAGAGTGACTATTACAAAATAAATAAATTCATGCTTATAAACAGTTCCAAACTCAAGAAGGTTGCAAATAATAAAGTAACCTATAGCAATCACATTTCACATCATGATCATCTCTGATCGTTAGGTTGCTGCACTTTCTTAGCTCTCTGCACTGCTTTACCCTAATAAGCTTAAAAGTAATTGAAGGCCAACAGGAAGCAAACACCTACGTAGATCAATATTGTATTGCAAATATATTTATTTTGTACAATTTACATCATTATTTGTTCACTAACACAAACAAAATAAAATGTTATATATACATATATCTATATATAGATCTATATATAGATCTATGTCTATATCTATGTCTATATCTATATATAGATCTATATATAGATCTATATATACCTCTGTACCTTTAACTGTTATGAAAGTGCATGTCCTAGCATGCCTTACCTCCCTATGTCTGACAACACAAGCTGAGGCTTGTAGTTCCATCACAACAGCTGACACCACAGTGTTACATTGCCAGATATCCACATATGTCTGTAAAGTAAGTGCTACTTCAAACATGCCTCACTGTGACAGCCTCTCACAAAGCAAAGCTATTCCTCTAAGTAAACTGCTAGTAAAACTAAATGAGAAAGCAGTGTGCTTAATGATTTAGCCAACCACATAAGCAAAAGTAAGAGCAATCACAAATTAAAATACCTACGAAAATACCAAAAATGTCAGAAAATTCACATAGAATCAAATGTCATAAAGCAACAGACGTCTAGAAGTTCACCAACAATGTCCACTCAAGAAGTGAAGTGTCCTAGGCAGTTAGAGTAACTTTTCAATCTAATTCTTCTCTGTAAGCCCCCTCTAACACAATGCATTTGATTGAATAAACAGTATATCCAGGTAACCCTACCTTCATAGGCACAGGCCAGGTAGAAATTCAAGGTGAACAGCCACAGTATGAAACGTAAAGCCCCCATGACCATAAAAACAACTCCTTCTTCAGAAGCAGATTAAGTGGCAGAGGAAGCATAGAGAACGAGAGAGGAAAGAATTCTACACAGTCTTAAAGCTTCAGGCTAGAAGCAAGATACCGCAAGTTTTTTTCCCCTTGAAGAACTGAATCTCTGCCAGGAAAAAGGGGGGGAGAGCTGCAATTCCTTATTGGACACAGCAGATTCCCTACACGACTCTACTATATGATTGCTTTGCAGAAGTTGTTTCTTAATTCCACGTTTTTCCTTTTGTAGAAAAGCAGGCATTTTAATTACAAGAGGTCCTTTCTGCTTAGAATTCACTGTAGATGAACCTGGTTTTGAAATGTAAGCTTTTTAACCCATTTGTGCTGTTTGCTAAGGTCTGATTTTATTAATGGTTGCATTGACAAGGGCTATTTCCTCCAGGCTTCTGGACTCACATAGTTTTCCAAGGATGTTTAGATTGGAAAGGAGCCAGACGAAAAAAAAAAACGAAATGCTTTCTATATTCCTAATTTGTACATTGCTTGATTTGTTTTAATTAGAAACAGTTTTCATTCATTTCATTTACACTTTTCATGTGTAATTTTCAAGCCTTAAGCCTCGCATAAACCAAATAACTACCGCTTTCAAAAGTTCAATTAATTTTAAAAAGTAATTTTAGAGTTCTAGGGGAAAAAAAAAACGTTTATATCAAATGCAACATGTTTCTGTTTTTCCTTATAGACAGGAATTTGGGGAAGCATGGAGTTAAATTATTACATGTCCCAGTGTGTCCAAACCGGCAAGCTTATCTTTAGATATTTAAAGGTGAATTTTAGTAAAAATTCACAAGTAAAGTATATCCAAACCCAAAACTTCTTTTTTTTCACTTCCTGCCCTGTAAACAGAACAGAAAGTGAGAATATATCTCTATAAAGTGAGGGAAATCCTCTCTCAGACAGTTGTCACCTAAACAAGTGTCCCCATTGAAGGGTGTCTCCTCTATTCCAGTTTTGCTGACAATTCAAACTTTTGGATCTTTCCTAATTTTCAGTCCCAATGACAGTAGTCACTGAGACAAATAAATAACAAATAAAGAAGTTGAATCTCCCTGTCAGGGTCACAGGTAGCAATGAAAAAGCGACCATAGTTCTATTATTATTATAATACAAGATTAATATAGTGCCAAAAGTTTGAGCAGCGCTTTACAAAATGGAGGGAGACAGTACCTTTACAATACAATTTCAGTACATTAGGGTTAGGAGAGACACTAACATGTCCCACCATGCCCAAACAGCCACATTCATCTTTTGGACAGTTGTCACCTGAACATGTGTCCCCATTGGAAGATGTCTCCTCTGTTTCGATTCTAGTGATAACTCAAAATTTTGGACCTTTCCTAACTTTCAGTCTGCCACTGGGACAAAAAAAAGGGTGAAACTCCCTAACAGGGACACGTACGCACACTCTGCAGGTCGTTTGTAGAATAAACTTCAAATGATACATGCTGCAGTCTGATCATGCAAATGAACATTGACAAGGCTCTAGGAATTAATGTTATTAGACAAATGGGGTTTTATGTATATTGCATATTACAATAGAAATGTATTTCTTCATAAACAGAACATTTGGTGCATACATCCTGTATTTACTTTTCCATGGTATGTTGAATATGCAGAGAGTGTCAACCCAGATTTGTATGTTATAATGCATATACCTATGCCCCTTGTAGAAGATATGTACATCCCCTTTACACATACCTCTCGTCTTGTGAATTCAGGGTGCACAGGCACTTACATAGCATTAGTGAGGACCAGTACTCCATGTAAAGTTTACCTCTTTAATGTCAAATTTTAAGAGCAGGTCAAGGCAGGGCCTTTTTGTCAATGTTCTGGCCTTCCCTTATGCTTCGTGCATGCTGAGGTATGGTGTTATATAGCCTTACACTATGGGGTTGATTTATAACGGTTCCGCCTAGCTGTAAATATGGCATTAGTGCCACTAGATGGTGCCAAGGGGCATATATATTTCCATGCGAACAGCATCTGCCCAGCTACAGGGCTTGTTTCCACCAACCTGCACGTCTACCGCAATGTCCCCCTTCCAGGAACACAAGGGATCGCAAACATAAAGTCTCCTTGCGTTCTGGGGTGGGAGGGTTCATGGCAGTGCCATTCAAGTCAATGTCACTGCAGACACACACCCCAGGCAGACTGTGTGAGACTCTGGAAGTAACAGGACCTGCGGCTGGAGTCTGTTTGTTTCCCAGGGGGAGATAGAAGCCTGGTTGTTATTAATGCTGACATTACCTAGACAGCAGTCCTTCAGCAAAAGAGACTGCCTGATCTTCCATTCTGTATACTCTGTCTGTGGTGCTGTGGAGGATCCAGCTTCTATACCATAGAGAGGCACTGCTGTCGGTACGAACTAATGGATCCTACTGAGACCACGTGGCTACTGTATCATAGAGACAACACTGCCACAATGAACGAATGGATGCTGCTGTGCCTGTGTGACTGTTGCGGCCAGAGAAGGAGAAGGCTGTGGCCTGTGCATCGCAGATTCATTATAAGAATCCAGGGAGCAGCTGGCTGGAGAGGGGGACGCCCTACTCGCTGGTCAGAAGAGGAACTGCCATTCAAGACCGCCTGCTTTAAGAGTGGTGAGAGGCTTATGGCCACCTGTTATTGCTGGATCTAATCTGTAGCTGCAAAAAAGTTTGGGCTACATTGCCGGCTAGCCTAGAGTATTACTACTGGCTAGTAGCATAGGGAACTGGGGACATTCTGGACTGAGTCATTATTATTACAGCTTATCCATAGTCTGTGGGTATTGCTTCAAATAGCTCAGCACTGTTTATCACATGAGTTATACAGTTGCAGTTTAGGTATGCCTGAATAACTAAGGCACTTCTATTGTATGCATGCTTATATTTCCCATTGTTCTTTGCATCTTTCATTTGTCAAAGACAGAATATTATTTGTTTAGTAAAGCATTTGTAAAAACTCACAAGGTGTGTGGTGGATCCATCGCAAGTGGTTCATCACAGAGGTGAGACAGAAGTGCCTGTTATATCTAGCGGCTCCTTTGGGGGAGAGCGCTACACATTTGCAAACACAAGTGGAAGCCCCACTGCTGCGTTAATGCATCTCTGATCAATGTCTAAACTACAGTACCTGAGTTTCTGAACATGGTACATAGTACCGTTTTGTATAATGGCCTGCCCATCTGTATATGTCTTTTTTTAGGTCATTAAGGTCTATAGGTAAAAGGCAACACATGCACAGCAATGTGCAGTCCTATGGCTGGGATCATGGTAGTACCACCTGGTGCAGGCCTAGGTGACAGATACAGGTTGCCTGCTGGGGTTTTTAGTTTGGGAGTATAGATAGCATGGGAAGACTGAGCAAGGCCAGTTACGATTAAGTTAGTTAATAGTATTGTTATGTCACTGCAGTCTTCTTTGGTAAAGACAAGGGAAGGAAATAGTAACCTTGACAATACTGACATAATCTGGGTATTCTGCTTGGTATATGATATCCAGGGATCCCATATGGATTAAATAAATAGCACTTAAATTGTAGGTCCAGACAAACTTTTTTTTTTTTTTTTTTTTTAGCTTTATATGGAATTGGGACTGTAAGAAATACAATTCTCCATTACTGTCATGGTGTCACCAGACGCCAAAAAAGCAAACTGACAGGGGTTCTAGCCATTCACTAGTAAACAAAAAAACATGAAAAATAGAAGGTCCGTTTCCTGCTCAGCCCCCCATCACTAAAGCAAAATTAGCCGTAATAAATAAATGTTTTAAAAAGTACTTGGTCTCAAGAGGAATGGGTGACTGCCTCTTGACATAGCTGGGCACTCAAAATCCTTTACATATGCAACCCAGCCCATTGCAGGTTTGCATGCTTGTGTGATTTCAAGGAGTGAGGGACAGTGGCGTCTTCTGTACCTCCCAGACGTCAGGACCGAGGCAAGTATTTATTGCTTAAGTTTTTTTCAGCTTATTTGGATGGCACGAAAGTGGATCTTCCATTTGCATAGTAGGTCAGCTTTAAGGGCGAATTATGGGGTAAGTAAAAAACACTCATCCCCATAATTCAAGTCGACCTGCAACACTCAAGCTCTAACAGGCTAGCTCTATAAATCGGTAAGTCAGCGAACACATACCACCGATTCCTGACTTCCCGATCCTCTCCCTGCAGAGAGTGGTGACTGTCAGTCACTGCTCCCTGCAGGAATTGCCTCCTCCCCTCTCCATTCCTCCAGAGCTGAGTGGAGGAATGGAAGAGGAGGGGTGGGCACAGCTGGCTCTGCCTCTAAAGAGAAAGAGCCAGCTGTCAATCAGCCAGCGGGGTGGATCTCACAGTATTGTTGGGATCTGTTCTGGCTGCAGCACGGCTCTGCAATAGCCCGCTACATACTGAGTGTTGGGGTCACAGGAGGACATTAGTATATGTCCTCCTGTGACCCTGAAGATAACTATGAGAAAAAAAAGGTTGCCCCATAGTTCTCCTTTAAATAAACCATATAAAGTTTATTATAGTAATAAATAGAATAAAATAACACAGCATCATTCTGTTACATAGAATTTAGAACACAAGCACACACTTTCTAGCTATAAAGAGTATATCGATGTGGAAGATCTAGAGAAATTCCAACACACAAGTGAAAACCAAGTATAACTAACAAAAGAAGAAACACAAAACTCATGATGTGGCACATGAAGCAAGGAAGTATGCGCTTCTAACAGCTCTGTAATTACCTAGGACAGGAACTGTTCCCACGGAAGTAACACATACTAATGACAAAGCTATGTCTGACATTAAAAAACAAATACTATATTCACTCTCATTTAGTTGCTAAAAATGTTTAAGAAGATTCTATTGGGGCATTAAATGCTAAGTACAAAACGTAACAAAAAATAACGGAGGAAGAATAAGGAGAGGTGAGATAAAAGTAGGTAGAAAAGAAGGTACAAAAACAGTATCATAAGCCTATTTTACAGACACTAAAAAATAAAGTGTATGTCTAAGCAAAATAAGAAAACAAGACCCTGTGTGAAAAAGTGTTCGCCCCCCCGTTAAAACATAACTTAAAGTGGCATTAAAGGATACATTTTTTTCCCTTCCCCCAATGTTAATGTTAGCACTTACCTTAAATGATGTCTCTTAATCCGATCTTCTTTC